AGGGAATCCGGAAGTTTTCCTCAGMAAGCCACATTTATTGGTTTAGCTCCAGTGCTTCATGGACTGTTATCCATCAAAAGCAGCACTGAAATTGGCACTCTTCACAGAAAAGGAAGGGATCCACCCCAAAACACTAAATGTCAGGAAACTTTTGTGACACAGGATGAAGAAACACATGCTGCCTCTGCAGTTCAAAATGTTCCTGCTCGGAAGATAACCGGGAAGCAGCGTGGCTGGTTCACACCTTCCACCAGTGCCAGGACCATGCAAAACCCCCAGAGCYCTTGCTGCGAGCCCTCCCTGAGGGGTGGCCAGAGGCCAGATGACTAACCACCCAGAGTGCACCACCATTCCCAGAAAGTCTTACTACCTGGAGAACCTCCTCATTAAGAGGCAGATTTCAGGAAACAGCCAAATTGTGCAGGAAAGGAGAGGAGCTGAAATTAGTCATCCACCTTCACAAGTTAATTTTAACATGGTTGGACAAAGAGGTCTGGACAAAGAACCCAAAGAAGCAGAACTGGTAAGATAAAATAACACTTTGGATTTTACAAATATTAATTTGGGGCATAAAGGAGCTGGTTCAGTTAAGGGCACAAGTTCTTTGTCTCTCCAAAGCAAAGCAGAAGGCTTACACAAATGGAAGTTATCAGTATGAAAGTAAATAAAATATTAATTAAAAAGCACATCTAAAATTTGTTGCTTCATGATGTTTATCATGGTTTGTTTCCTTCAAGAAAACCAGAATGGATATCTAAGCAGAATTTTTGAACTATGTAGAGAAAGTTAAAGGCCCAGTTGGGCCCATTCAGCCCCCTTCTTTCCAGGTGCAGGGAAGCCCATATCCAGTGCCATYACTGCATAAGGTGTTGTGTTGCCCAGAGTTAATAAAAACAGCACAGTACTTTCTGCATGAAAATAACACCTCCATTCTGTAATTTCTGTAGGGGAGGTTGCCCTAATTGTGTTCTCACAGGGAAGATGGATAGATCCCTATTTAGTCACCACCACAAAATCACAGGGAACTTAGTATTTGGATTTTTAAAATTAATACAGTATGAATATTTCTGAAAGTGTGATGGGAAAAGTGGTCCTTATGCTGGTCTGGCTTCACTGCAATTCCTGAAGTAGGATCTGCAAAGGCATGAGTCTGTGCAGGAGCTGAGTTGTTTCCCARTCCTTGTGAAGTGAAAGAAACATGATGTTCAGCATCACTTTCCYGTGCTCACATTGAAGTGTTTCATCAGTACCCTGCTTTTAGAGTTTTCTAACTATCAGTGAGGGATGATATATCTTAAAAGAGAAATATTATTTGTTGTTAGTGTTAAGCAGCACCYGAATGAAGTATGATGGGGGGAAAATACTTCTAAGTAGTTTGGACAAAATTAAATGTTTCACTCTGTTGTGCAGTTGTTATCTAATATCTGTAAGTCCCTTTCTACATGGAGTTGGAGAATATGACACACCTATAAAAAAGGTTTAGAAAACAGTTGCAGAAAAAAAATGGRTATCTGACTGAAAAAAATCAAGGTAATCTACTCAAACTGCCCCACACTCCCAAATCAGGCCTCCTTCAGCYCATAAAGATGCAAAAAGAAGAAAAAAAAAACCCCAACCAAAACCATGTGAGGAAGAAGGGGAAGGTCCAGTTGGTTTCTCGTGCCCCTGGCTGAGTGGGTGGAAGGGTGAGGTCCCCATGGCAGCAGGGGTGCTCCCAAAGYCCATCACCTGCACACCTCCCCACCACCAGCCTGCTGCTCCCACCCAGCAGTGTGGGAAYGGGTGGACGTGCTGCCTCTGCAGGGAAGCAACCTGGTGAACCAACAACCCATTTCATCTCTGTGTACTCATCTTCTGTTTGTTTTTAAAGGGTTGCCAAAAAGAAAAGAACAAACAGCATGAGGCTTCTCTGGGCTGGCAGTGGGTGGGGAAATAAGTGCCTTATAGTGAAAGAAGGTAAAAGACAATGCAGACTTGGCAATTTTGCAGTGAAGAGTAAATGCCCTCCTTCCCAGAGACGGCAGCTCAAAATCATAGGATTAAAGAATGGTTTGGATCAAAAGGGGACCTTGAAGATCATCTAGTTCCAACCCTGTTGCCATGGGCAGGGACACCTTCCACTAGACGAGGTTGCTCAGAGCCCCATCCAACCTGGCCTTGAATACCTCCRAGGTGCTTCCAAAACTGGCGGCTCCCCCGCATTTATTTCTCAAGGAGGGCACCCTGCAATTCCAAACAGGGCACCCCAGGATGGGATGGGGGCACCCCACAGCCAGAGACCACCAGGGCAAGAGGACGCAGGTTGGGGGACAAAGAGACGCTGAGATGGGGCATGGCTGGATGCTGCACCAGGCAGAGCAGGCTCTCACTCTGCCCCAGTCTGCTGGAGATGGGAGCTAATGGGCAGGGATGTTTCTCGTGGTGTTTGCTGAGTCCAAGGTGATAAGAGGAATAAACACCTAGTACCGTTTGAAGCTTCTATGAGCAATTGCTGGTTTCTCTGTGCATTTATTTTGTAGGGGGTTTCAACTTGATGCAACGTTTTGGGGTTTAGCATGTACCCTTCTATTCCAGTCTCTATAAAACAAGCTCTGGACTGGCAGAAAGAAAAGCAAAGTTAGGTGAAGTATGTCTAAAAATACCTGCAGAGCTGTCGCACCATCTTCAGTGTACCTATGCCAGTCAGCAAGAAAGCCATATGGGCACTGACATGCGCTTGGGAGCTTTCTGTGGGAGATGTCAGTGTCTCTTCTTTCCCATGAGGGAGAGTTCAGCTTGTCAGGGAGCTCCATTATTAAAATTTGAATCCTACACTTAGCACTCAAAGCCCATGGCATGCTCCAGAGGCTGTCCCGAGGCAGTGAAAGGGTTACCTCTGGAGCAGAGAAGCAGCTCCGGGTGATGAAGTGGATAAGCCRGCACTCCATTCATCTGCTTCGAGCACTGCCTGACCTTGGGACCTGGCAGAGGAAAGACGGCTGCTCCTGGGAACAAAGGGCAAGGGAAGGAGGATGACTCAGGAATACTGGTGGTCTGCATAGGATCAGGGCAGGACAGCTGAGCTGTTCCATGGCCATGCCTGGCCAGTGGCAAGGGTCACTGGCTGCAATGCACCTATTGCAGGAAGTGAATCCATACACTGCCCAAGCCCATCTTCTGTTTTAATAGGGGGAAAAGATTTTTTATTGCTTGGTCTTCTTTTTTTCTCTCTTTTGTTTTCTCTTTTCTTTTCCCTTTCTTTTTTTTTCTCCTTTATTTTTTTCCTCTTTCTTCTTTTCTTTTTTTTTTTTTTTTTTTTTTTTTTTTTTTTTCTTTTCCCTTTTTTTTTCTTTTGTCTTTCCTCCTTTTTCTTTCTCTAATTTTTATTTGCACCATTATGGGAGCATATCTTGAAGGTAGAGTTTACATGGGGCTGGACTA